CACCTGGTCCTACCTCAGAGCTCTGCGTTCCCTTATATCCACAGAAGGGAATCTTCCCTTACATCCACAGAAGTGGGCAGGAGTTCACCGCATTAGCTACAGCTTCTCTTGCACTGAGAACCACTGGCTCGTGAGACAAGATTTCTGGGCTGCACTGCAGCCAGAAAAACTTGTGGGGCACTGTACATTTAATCAGCAAAAGAAGAGTGTTCCTGTTTGCAGGATGATCTTTGAAAGAGAAATGACACATGATGAAAAATGGAGGAGGAAGGCAGAGGGGAGAAATTCACAAAGCAATGCTATTGCCCAATGGGATGGAGGTCCAAATCCATCCTTGTTCATGCCAACTGGGATGGAAGGGTGGGGCAGCTTCTCCCTCCACAGCACTTTTTAATCTAATATATTCTGTTTCTCACTGGTTCCCATGGGAGTGAAATAATACATACCGGCTCCAGGGGTATGCCAGGAAAGGGCTCTGGAACAAATGGAATGAAAACTTCAGCGAATGGGGTGGCATAAAAATGTTTTAATAAATAATTTTAATAAATAAAACTCCAAAATTCCCCAGATCTGCTCCTGGAAGGTCCACTTTGTGTCATCTTTCTTGAAGCAGAGCCTGTAGTTGGGGTTTCTACACCACAGCAGGAAGGTCTGCAGGAGGGCCCCTGCGGATCTTTCCTTCCCCACAGAGAGAGGGAAGCAGAGGGGGGGAAAACCTTTCCCAGGCGCCCGTCCCAAGGAGCTTTTAAGGCTAATATTTCTCAAAGGGAGGTAAGGGAAAGAGTAAAGGACAGTGAACTGCTACCCAGTGAATTGAATGCCAGGTACAAAAGCTTTGTTTCCAAGGAGCATGAAGAGCAAGTCACAGGAAATCAAAACGGCGGCACAAAATCTTAAGCAGGAGAAGAGGAGAAGAGCTCAGTTTTGCAAAACAAAAAACTTCCCAGCAAACAAACCACTTCATTTTGAGTTGTTCTACTTGAAATGCATTAGGGAGCCTGCCTTTACTACAGGCAGTGAATAGCCAAAGGTTCAAAATGCTAACACATAATAAAATGTATGATCTGAAGACTGCACTTAAACATGTGTCATTTGACGACAGTTTTTATGTAGGCAGAACATATGGAATAAAACAGAGTGCCAGTTTCCTTCAACAGCTTGTTCGGTTTTCGCCTCTGTTCTGCTTAAGTGGTTGGGAGAGGTCCTGAATCGCAGAGCAGAAGTAGCAAGCAGGGCCCATCTGCTCTACAACAGCATCAGTCTTAGGCCATACTATTTCTTCTATGCCGTCTTCCCTGCCATCCTGGGTGGCATCCCGGGCATGTCACAGAGTGAAAAATGCCCTCCAGTATGTATGTATTTAGAGTTTTTGTATGCCGTCCCATCACTTATCGCCTCGGGACGGCTCACATAAATAAATAAACATGGTACAAAATACAATTAAAATCTGGAAACACCCTGGCTGCACAATTAAAACCTATAGATATTAAGCGTTATTAAAATATTTTTAAATAAAAATGTCTTAGCCTGGCACCGAAAAACAAATAATGACGGCGCCAGGTGGGCCTCTCTGGGGAGCGCATTCCATAGATGGGGCGCCACCGCAGAGAAAGCCCTCCTCCGGGTACTCTTCAGTATGGCTGGGACATGACAGTACAGGCCATTTGCTGGCTAAGCATAGGACTCAGCCCCTAAGAGGCTGAATTATGAGCAGTAAAAACTTTAAGCTGGAGCATGTCCCTTGCGTGGCGCAATGAAGCTGTGAACGATGCCGTGCAGGGCCACCCAAGACGGACAGGGCATAGCAGGGAGCTCTGACAAAACGTGATCCCCTGGAGAAGGAAATGGCAACCCACTCCAGTACCCGTGCCATGAAAACCCCATGGACAGTACCAAGGGGCAAAGAGATATGACGCCAGAAGATGAGCCCCTCAGGTCGGGAGGTGTCCAATATGCTACTGGGGAAGAGCAGAGGGCTAGTACTAGTAGCACCAGAAAGAATGAAGCGACTGGGTGAAAGCCGAAAGGACACTCAGCTGAGGATGTATCTGGTGGTGGAAGGAAAGTCCAATGCGGCAGCTTAGACTCCATCCACTTCCTCCTTCAAGCCATCCCTGTCTTTGCCTGGAATGTAGCCCCCAAGAAATGGAACATCTGCAAACTAGAATCTGACCCCCTGCCACAAAGGGGTTCTGAGCACCATTGCTGTGATGTACCATCAAGCCGCCTCCGACTTAGGGCGACCCCACGAGTGAACACCCTCTAAAAAGTCCCGTCCAGGATAGCCTGTCTGAGCTCTTTATGGAAAGAAAAGGGGTTGTGAGGAGGGATTTGAATGAAGGGGCCATTTATGGCAGCCCCACACATGGCTGCCCTAGACAGACATCCATCTTACAGGCTTCCATAGCCTGCATCAGCTTCCCTGATCAGATGTCCTCCATGTGATATGGACTACAACTGCCATAATCCCCATCCATGGGGCAGACTGATTGGAGTTTGTGGGAGCTATAATCCAAAATACCTGCAGGACACCAAGTTGGCGCAGGCCCACCCAGAAGGTGTGAGGGGGCAAAAGCAACTTGCAAGCTCGGTATCTCGGAAATGTTAAAAGCGCCGTTGTCCACCTTTCCACCTTTCTCAACCCCACCTCTGACAAAGTCCGAATAACACTGCTGGGCCGGGGAAATTCCTTTTGCCGCTGAACCCCTCGCCCCCAACAGGTGAGGATGTGAGAGAGCTCTCTCTTTCCCAAAGGCACAAAACACAGAACTGCAGAAGTAGTGCTCCAAGATCCTTCTGGTGGGCTACCAGTATTTCACCTGCTTTTAGTCTTTAGGTCCAGAAGTCTGGTTCAAATTTTGGCCACACAAGCCAACCGATGGCTAAAGAGGGTTTTAATTGGTTCAGTGCTATCTACCTCTTTTGCTGCGGTGTTTATTTTTTAAAGAGCGCTCGTCCCTTGGTTTCTTCTGTCCTACGTTTTAATTCACACTTCGTTCTTAATCTAGACTGTATTGTGTTAGCCAGCCTGAACACCGTGGCATGGTGCAAAGACAGAATATAAACCGTGCCTGTTTTGGGAATCAAGCCCTGGAAAAGGATGAGATCTGGTGTTAGGAGAAGGTGGTGGCACATGGCACGATGCCATGGCAAGATGAAGACTGAACGGGTTGTCCAGCCCCAGGGAGGGAGGGAGGGAGGAAGATTGAGTGGGCGGGAGAAGGAAAGATAAGAGATAATCTCTACCATTTGCCAGGATCTAGGGAAAAGTATAGCCTTAATACAGAGCGACTGAGTGAGGCTGTTTTCCAGCTGGCCTCAGATGCGGCACCACCAAGCCCACGCTTGCTCGCAGGAAGCAGCCAGATGCTACCGGGGCCGGGAACTCCATGTCGTAGGCCGGTCAGGCTGCCTCCGGTGGGGTGTGGGCCGTGGAAAGCTTTTACATGTCAGCAGCCCAGATGGCGGAGGGTTCCCTCCCGACTACCACCTGAAACCTCCAGCCTCTGGGGAATCCGTTCTGCATTGACTCATCAGCGATGGTAGCTTGTTGCAGGATTCTAGCAGAGGAACTTTCCATGCTACAAAATATGCCAGGAAGGGTACGGTTCGTGTTTTCACGCAGCGTTTTCCTTGAAAGACCCCTTGCTACTTGGTTGTGTGGCACTAGAACCTGAAGCTGCATCACTTTCCCTTTTTCCAAACATTGAGTGGTAACAGATTAGGCTGCATGTGGCTCACACAAGCTCAGTCCTGCCCTGGATCCATGTCAGGTATGGGCAACAACAGAGGTGGGCAAACTTCAGGTTGGCTCCCTTTGAAGGGTAACTGCTTTTATTGCCACTTTTCCCTCCAGATGGTTGTTTAAGGTTTTTACAGACTGTTCGATAGCAAATGCTCTCAGGATGGTTTACAGCATAAAACACAGCAACTTAACATGTTAGAATTATATTATTATATTAGTCTAACTATATATTATAACTGTGCCATTTATAAATAACATAATTTATTTTTATCTTAGATGATTACTATATCTAAATCACATAAGTTACATAAAGCATGTTCCAACTCACAGGAGTTTTTCGTTCAAACATCTTACCAGAATGGTAAGGGAAGGAATGGCTGATTTATAAGAATGCTGAGATCGGATCAACTAGGGACAGACAGAAAAGGATGGCCCAGGGCCAAGGGGAATGATCCAGCGTACTCCATAAACTTCACACCGGGGGTAAATACAAGTCAGCATCAATTAAAGATTCTGCCCAAACACGGAACATAAGCAACTGATTCGTGTTCCCATTTCGCAGCTGAGGAACACAGAGGCTGACAGATAAACAAGACCAGTTAGAGCAGAGTCATGCTTTGATTTTTTTTCCCCTTCGTGCTGACATAAAAGTACTGAACACCAGAAAACCATGATGATCTATGGCAAATTAGCAGATGCTTCCCTTCTGTCCTGTATCTCCTTATCCTATAAAGCACTGAAGCCAGGAAAAGCTGTGGAAAAACTATCTGTGCTTCAGAAAAAGCTTCTCTGCCCTTCCTGACCTGAACATGGATGGAGACGGAATGGAAGGGAGAGAGTTCACTGGCCCACAGCACGGGGAACGACTCTGCGTACCCTTCCGTGAAGGGTGAGGAACATGAGTCAGGTCCTAAAATGCAGGTGAGCCACAGGTGCACTGCTTGCCCTGCTGCTTTTTTCACTGAGATCCAGGATGGCACACACTTGTCCCCTGCGTGATGTAGAGAAGGAAGCATGCAAGGTGTGAGCCAGCAAGCTCCCCTCAGCACAACCACCAGTCTGCGTCAAGATCAGAGACTAGCCACTGAACACAGCTTTACATCACAACACTCTAAAATCCAGTGTCTGTTCTTAACTTCCTCAAAGAACCCCCCTGTCCTTACTGCTGCTAGCCAAAAGAGAGACACGCCAAATTCATGCCACAGCTTCCCCAATCAGGCGCCTTCTCAACTTGAGTTGGTGTGCAAGGACTCACCAAGCCGAAGTTCCCCGAAGTTCCCACATCCGATCTTCTTCCCGACTCGAAAATTCGGGCCCACCATTAAGACTCCAGAGTTGGTCCCTGTTGTTCGGCTTCCATGCGTGTTCTTGATTCCGCCTGTTTTAGACATCCTTCTGCCTTCTTCGTTCTCCCCTTTCCCTCCTCTCTTATCAAAATCCATAAGTTTGTGATACCCCGGCCTCTCCACGGTTACGCCAGTGCCGTACGAATCCCAGCACGGCCGAAACTTGAGGTATATGGGGAGGGGCTTGGGGGAAGGGGAGGGAGGTGAAGGGGGGAGGGAGAAAAGAAGGAGCAGATTGAAAAACAGGACTCTTCGGGCTTAATAGACCATCACGGGTGGTGGAGGAGGTGGTGGAGGAGGAGGAGGAGGGAGGGCGCAAGGGGGTGAGTCTTCACCCGCATGTGCCGGGCTAGTGGAACAGTAGCCCTCTCGATGGACTCACTAGGACGCCGAACAGCTCCTTCGGCTGGCTGCTCGCTGGAGAAGGCAACATGGTGAAAGGGAGGGCATCCAACGGCGGTCCTTGGCGTCCAAGCTGGGGAAAGCGGAAGGGGAGAAAGCGGACAGGTTACTCCGTGAAACCAGAACCATTAAAAGGTGTGTGTGGTGGGCAGGTAAGTTTAAGGATGGTGGTGTGGTTGACACTGGTCAGGTCCTGGTAAACTTGCGCTATGCACCCACCACCAAATCGGCCTGACCCTTTTGGATTAGGATAACAGTGAGACTCACCTCCTTTTATCGTACAATCAGTTTCGTTGCAGAAAATCACCTATTCTTTAGGGCTGCCTTCAATTAATCTAACCAATCTGTCAGTTAAGAACAAGTACCTCATGAATCTGCAGGTCAGCGTTTACTACAGGCCCAACAAACCACACATTACTCAGGTAACCTTGATCCCAGCCCCACAAACCAGGCATTGCTCAAGACCCTTGATCTGAGCCCAACAAACCAGGCATTGCTCAGGTATGGGTAACTCAGGTAAATCTGATCTGAGCCCAACAAACGACACATTACTCAGTTGTGGGTAAGTCAAATAATTATGCTCTTCTCCTGCTATTTAGCTCTGCCTCCGTGTCCACTTAACTCCTTCACTGTCTTCCCTACATAGCAGGGGTCATAAAAATTAAACATGATGGCCAACTATAAAATTGACACCTTTGAAACAGGCGTTTTTGTATAATTCAAGGACCCTAGCATTGGAAGGGGGAGCGGAGGGATGTGTGGGGAGCCCCACTGTCTTCACGATGATTCACAACTGAGTTTTGGCCTTGAAAGCAGACATGACAGAAATTCACTTCTGCACAAACAGGGCTGGCTTTGGGATTGTCCTGAGACCCTATTCTTACCTGCATAGTCTCGGGTCAAGTTCCTGGACCTTCTTGACCAGGGGTGAGAAACTGCAAGCCCCAGAGCCAAAGCTGAGTCTGGGTTCCACAGAGGCCCACATGCCCAATTCTTGACCATGCATTATGTTTTCAGCTTTTCCGTATTTTCCCGCATTCCAAAACCTTGAACCGTGTCTGCTTCATAGCAGAAAGAGCCCTAACAGCCTGGCAAAATTTGGGGCCACCTTCTCTGCCTTTTGCCTGCCTGTGCTCGAATATGACCAAGCAATGCCCTCAGATCTCAATGCACAGAAATGGATTCTGCACCTCAAATGCCTAGTATTGAATTTAGTTTCTTACCAAGCCATTTCACGCATTACTTCCAGTGCAGAAGTAAGTTCCTCCAAGTTCGGTGGCACTTTGGCCCTGGGTAAGTACGCCAAACAGCAACATCAATTTTTTTCCCTTACCGAGAGGAGTCTTTCTCCGACCTGACAGTTTTTAATCCGAGTTTCTGAGTGCCTGCCTTAGAAGCTTTAAAAGCGAGAGCGGAGGGGAAATATCCAACAGGAACACACACAAACCCGGTTTTTAAAAGGCACACTTCCATTAATCTGGATTAGATAGGGCTTCTCTTAAAGAGTTAGAGGGAGAAGGCAGTCAATTCCCAAAGGATTACCACGAAGGCGTGGGAGGGGAGGCGTGATCATCTTTCTGAACTAAGAAGAGAGCAAAAGAACAAACACTATACATGACTCAATCAAGGACATGTGGGAGGGAAAGAGGATAAAGGACAGTGCTGTATTTTCAGAAGGAAGGAAGGAGGGAAGGAGGGAAGGAGGGAAGGAGGGAAGGAAGGAAGGAAGGAAGGAAGGAAGGAAGGAAGGAAGGAAGGAAGGAAGGCATTTTAATATATAGTCTTGAAATAATATTTTAAAACAACACGTTGCCAGCGGAAAGATCACTTCCATCAAGAAAAGGGGGCGTGCTGATGAACTAGCTTTCTAGAACCATGGAAATCATTAGATCCAGCAGCCACTCACCCCCTCAACCATCTCTCATCACGTCCCGACATGTCCAGCTTTCACCCACAATGCAAATCGCAAATCACAAATCACAAAGCAAATCACCCACAATGCAAATCACAAATCACGGCATCCTCTTAGGATGTGATGCTACACATGCTTAGACAGAAAAAGTTCCCACAACTTCATAGCGTAACACAAATAAGGAAATAGCGGATTTAATCACTGCTGTGATGAGGCCTCAATTTAGGAGGTTATTGGGGGGTTGCAAAATGAACTGGCCTGATGCATACTCAGATTTATTGTTGTAACCTACTTAGAGATTCCTATTGGAATAGTTAGATGCATACAAGTATAAAAATAAAAAAAATCAAGAAGGCAAAATTAATAGTGCTCAGCTACCTCAGTGATGAGTACCTATTGCCATTTGCTAGAACAGAGACTTTATTTTGGTTTTTGTTTCCCTCTTCTTTTTGTGTATCAAATAAAAATTATAAATAAATAGAATTACTGTCTGCTAGAACTTTCTGTCTGTTGATGACCTAGCAGATGTTTATGCTACTTGATTTTTAAAGGTCTGATGTGGATTATATCTTGCTACTGGATGGGACACTGCTGATAAAAAGAAGTAGGCAAGTGAATAAATCCTACTGCTAGAAACTGATCTGTCTCCAAATTCATTCTGGGTATGAAAATCATTTAGGGTGCGACTCTATGCGAGTTTCGACAGAAAAAGTCCTACAACTCGTGGACCCCTTTCCATCTAAATCCTGTGTAGAACTGTGCCTTTCGCCGCTAGTCCTCAACAGCCAGGTATGGAAATGTAAACAGACATATAGATGAGCAAGATGGAGCTAGAATAATTAGGGTTGTAACTAATTTAACTCACACTGACTATTTCAGTGGATCCTCTGGAAAGATGATTAAAGGCCCAAACCAATGTTCACTTAGACTGGAAAACAGGCCTAAGCTTCCAGTATTCCCAGCTTCCACTGCTGAGAGTCGCGAGACTTTCTGGCTGTCCGAAAACACACAGGGTTGCATTCTAAATCTTTGAATCAAAGGAAGAGCTCATGTGGCACCCCAGGGCAGCACAGGGAAATTTCCTTTCCAGCAACCCTTTCTCTCCTTCTACTGCAAGGTCTCCAGTCATAGCTCGCGCCAGGCTGGGGGACGATGGGTGGGGGGAGATGTTGCCAGACCTCACCCCCCATCAGCACCACCACCACTGATGCCCACCCTGGAGAGCTACAGGTTTCTCACCACAATGCAGAAAGGTGCTAGACCTGCACACCTGCCTTGTTGCTTGTGATTTTTTAAAAATACAACCACCCACACAACAACTCCTGATAAAAACAGTGTTAGAGGGGGGACCACACACAAAGCCCCTGCTTCACAACACAGACCAAACACCTCCCAGAGTGGGAAAGGGAGAATACGAGAATATAAAACCGGCTTTTCCTTACACCAGAGGATAAACGTATTTGGGGAGGGGGTGCAGGCTTTACAAACCGGACCTCAGCAAGGGGAGGTATAAATCTTGGATCGGAGCCCTGCTGAGCCGAGCCGCAAACATGCATTTGCTCACAAAAACATACTCTGTATAACAAGGTGGGTTTTGTTTACCGAGCGGTGGCTGGGCTTTTAAAAAGAAATGCTCCTCACAGTCAGAAAAAAAGATGGTGAAGGTGGGAAGGACAACACCGAGGTATTTATCTCTGCCTCCCTCTTTGGCCTCTGCTTCAGCTTTTGTGGTTTCTGCTCAAATTAGGCACGGAGCTCCACCGGATATTTCTTTCTCCCCGATTTCTGAAAAGCAACCAGTGCTCAAGTGCAATTTGCAAGAACGCAGCAGGAGGAGCAGGGGGCCCTCATGGCGGCAGGAGGGGATTTCATTCCCCCGCCCCAGATTAAAACCACGTTTCTGCCTGCCCTCCCGCAGCAGCAAGGGAAGACAGAATGGCAGCGTGAAAAAAAGTCTTTGCGATTTCGTCCTAGGGTTTCACACCAAGTAGGCGTGCAAGCATATTTCTAAACATAGTTTGAACATTTATACATTGATAATTGTATGTGAGAGGCCGGGGGTGGGGGCGGGGGGGTGGGGGGGATTATGCACTACGGAACAGTTTGCAAGTGCATCTTTTCTCGAGATCTTTACAGCTTTTCCAACAAGGTTAGGAGAAGCGTGTTGCATGCTATGTGTTACTCCAGTCTGCCCCTACTTTGGCACCATCATGCAGACATGTCCCAACACATCTGGAAGGCACCAGACACAAACCTTCACAGCTCTTAAATTACAACAGCATTTAAAACCTGTATTTGACAAATCCCATTTGTTGAACCTCCATGTACAGAAGCAGCCAACCAGCAAATGCCCATGGTGGCGAAGTAGCTTTCAGTCTCTGCCCATGGGCATTTCAGACTCTAAGAAACTTTGACCTGACTTTGAAGGGTGTTCTCCTCCTATTCTTAACTGAAGGTTAATGGATCATCCATGTTCAAAAGCAGTCTAGCTGAAGAACCCAAATACAAAGGCGAAATTTGCCCTTCAGCCTCTGCTCGTGGGGATTCCCAGAGACACCACTGTTGGAAACATGACACTAGGCTAGATAGACTGCTATTCCTAACCAGCAAAACAACTTCCATACTACCGAAGACTGATCGAGCGTGTCACATTTCAAGCAGCACTTAAAATGTACCATGTTTATGTCTTTCTTACCCTCCCTTGTCCTTCTTTACGTGCCTGGAGACAAGCGGTGAAATTTTTTTTAAACGAGCACCCCAGAGGCCGTGTCGGAAGCCCAAAGGGGAACCTCCGTGGAGCGGTCCGGAGAAGACTGTCACTTTGCCTCCGTTGCAACCGCTCAGAAAAGTCTCTTATTTCCTTCGCCTGCTGAAGACGGCCCAACAGGAAGTTTCCCTATGCGAGACTGCACGAGCCATCATCATGGGCTGAGACGACGTCAGATTGCTTGAAGGAGGAGTAGGCTGCCCACGCAGAAGGGAAGCCACATCGTAGCGGCAACCCCGAATGTCTCACGGAGCCGGCGTGCTGCCGAGAAGGGCTTTTCTGAGAAGGAGTGCCTTGCATCGAAAGTGAAGGGTCAAGGTGGGAGTGTGCATTTGCACGCACCCCGTGACATCGGGCACCAAAATAGACCAGGTGTCGCCGCATGGAACCAGCACTCGTTTTTACACTTGAGCAGCTCTCACAAAACTTCGGCTCCTTGGTCCCCTAAAGTTTATTTAGTGGGGACGTAGGAAACACTCTTAAATTGGGCGAGTCCTATGAAGGGCACGGTGTTATTCCTTGTGTATGAAATCCTTCAACTCGAACTTTCTGCAAACAAAATGTAAATTCTGCTGCAGAACCCCAGGACTATATTGCCTTTCGGAAGCCACTCAAAGTGGTTTACAAGAATCTCAGAAAACAGGAATAAGAACGGAATAAAAACCTAAGCAACTGCTGGCCACAACTCAGAGCAGCACTTTCTCTCTTGTCATCCCTTGCAAGAGGGCCCTGGTGGCTGACTGCAGATTTGCATGATAAGGGTGTTACACTCTGAGCGCTGAACTGCCTGGAGATCTTTGGCCATCGGGCCTCTTGAAATGTGACAACCGCAAGCACAACAGTAGTAGAACTTTGAGCATCATTTGCTGAAAAGCTGCAGCTGCCCTGATGCCCTGATTGTGGGCTTCTCCAAGAAATGAGGCTGCCCTCGTTTGGAAACAGGAAGTTGGGTGAGGGAACCTTCAACCTGATAGCTTGCACGGTCACAATTCCGGCTGAGCTGCTCTGCTTCTTCCCTCTTTGATGGGGTGCTCCTGTTTTAGTAATTTTCTGCATGTCCCACCCACCTCACACAAGACTTCCTCTCTGTTTGAAATGCAAACAAACGGACACATTAAAAAAGTTTTAATAAATAAAAAAATAATAAAAAATAAACATGTAGAGACCCAGCAGTGGCTTTGGAGAAGGGCTTTGAGGAACCCCAGAGATTTCTGGGAAAGATCACGTCTGGTTTAAAAGCCACTATCATATGAACTTTCTCCTGCAGAGACACAGCAATAGAAAGCATCTAGCCCAGGGGTCTCAAACTCAGCTTACCTGGGGGCCGCTGGAAGTAGAGTCTGGGTGAGGCTGGGCCGCATCAAGGATTCCACCCCCGCGGTGGCGGTGGGCCGCTCATCCCGCGTGGCTCCCGGAGGCCGGCCCGGGTGCCCCCGGTGCTTTAAAGGCCACAGGGCCCCTCCCCGTGCCCGGCCCGGCAAGTGGCCCGAGGGCCACCAGTTTGAGACCCCTGAGCTAGACAAAAGAGCTTATCTTCCTTGGGGATCCCCAGAACTTATCAGGCAACTTTAAGCACTATCAAATATTTTATTTGCAATGTTCAGGTGCATTATTTGCACGCGCACACACACACACACGTGTGTGTGTGTGTGTGTGTGTGTGTGTCTTTCTTTCTTTCTTTCTTTCTTTCTATATCCAAAAGTACACTGCCCTGCAGTTAGCAGAATTACAAATATTATGTACAGGATAAAATCCAAGGGGAAAGCTCTAAAAGATACCCCCCACTCTCCGCAAGAAAGAGTGAGTATACCAGAGAGACTACAGGGGCAGAAATGGGACATGGAGTACTGAAATCCAAAATGGGGTCTCTTCTCACTACAACATGGGTGGGATAAATAAATAAGAAAACTCCCTCTTAAAGTTTTATACAAGAACATGTCTGGTCCCTCTTTTTTTCGAATTAGGAAAATACTACAGCTTGCAAACCAAACAATACAAGATTTTCTCTACATTTCAGTTTAGAAAGAGTCAAGAAGTTTTAAAAAATCTCTAATAAATTATTATCCCTAAACAGATTATTTGTGCGTGTGCACATGTACTGCATATGAAATATTTTAAAACAAAGGGGTTGCTTGTATATTGTGTTTTGTTGGAATCCACACAGTCAGAGAGCACAATCGCCTAACGGAGCCCCTAGTTTGCTTGCTGAAGGCCTTAAGGTACTTGTGGTATGTCTAGAAAATATTCCTGACAGGAGAATTACTGCAACCTGAATGCCCTATCAGGCAATATCCTGGTTCCTACTGAAATCAGCCCTTTATTCAGAAACATGAGGACTAGAAGCTTATCTTACTTTTAACTCAGTGGTAGAGCACATGTTTTGCAAACCACGGTGCCGACCATGTAGGCCCTGGTATCTCCAGGGAGGGCTAAGTAAGGTTCACATCACCAATCTGCATAGATCATACTGAACTAGGGGGGCTGATAAGACGACTTTCAATTTGCCTAATGAGGACCCTTTCAATCAGATCACAAGCGCTTTCCTGTACCTTTACCATGTCCAGCACTCCAATTTTATGCATCCGCCTGCCGCAACCTGGCAGTCAATCAACACTAGTCTACTTCACCAGGTTGCTGTTAGGATAATCAGAAAGAGGGTCCACTATGCACACACATGAAAGAACAGCTGGGATTAAAATAACCACATATAAAATCAAATTGCCAAGGTATCGTATTTTCCACTGCACCCTTGAAAACGTGTGGAATGCATCCAGCCTCTTGCCATGTACAGAAAAGTAAACCTGGATTGCGCAAACGGCTAGGCTGTCTTTAATGTAGTTGATATTTTTCCAGTTTCAATTCAAATGCCTGTGTGTTAACTTGGCTCATTTCCTGCCTACAGGCTGTTGTGTCTAAAGCAAACATACACCTCCACCAAAGTGCATGCGCACACACGTGTACACACACACACACACACACACACACACTTTTACTGAAAGCGAGAATTTTGGCTAAGTTCTCAACCTACTTTCCACTCTGAAACACATAAACACACCCTGCAAACACAGAAAATCTAACAAGAGGTCGCAAATCTGCTGGCAGAACTGGGACACTTGAAAAACAGCATGTGAAGAAGTGAGACTCAATTGCGCTTTTTCATTTTTTTACAAGGTGCGCACAGGGTAACGCACCGGTTTGCTGGGTGAAAGCTGCCTGTTTTCTTGATGCTAAATTAAGTAGCATCTACTTCCACCCTTTCGTAATTCCAGGGTTTCTCCTTTTAAGACAAGCAAGACTTGGCTGGGTGAGGAAAAAATATCATGCCACGCAATACCAAAGGGAACGGGAGATGTCATGGTGGAAAACATTTCTCCAAGTGGTGGCAGGGGGATTGAAAAGCAGGAAAGTTCTATAAATACTAAACACGCAGACAGACAGTGCAATCCAACCGCCTAAGCGAAAACATGCAGGGGCCCGATGGGTATGAAAAAGGGATCTGAACATGGAAAGACAGGAAGGATTGGGCCCAGCCTTCCCAAACCTCCCAGCCTCCAGATAGCCTAGCTCAGGGGTCTCAGACTCGCAGCCTGCGGGACGATTGCGGCCCGTGGGATGCTATTTTGTGGCCCCCACTTGATATCAAAGTTTAGTGACAGTGCGGCCCACGTGTTTTTCTCACACGCATCTGCGTGAGTCGTTACCCTGGGCGCAATGTTCCCTCTAAGCTGCGTGCCGGGCCGGGCCGGGCCGGGCCAGGCGGGGCACAGGGAGGGGCCCTGCGGCCTTCAAAGCGCCGGGGGCGCCCGGGCTGGCCTCCGGGAGCCACGCGGGATGAGCGGCCCACCGCCACCGCGGGGGTGGAATCCTTGATGCGGCCCAGCCTCACCCAGACTCTACTTCCAGCGGCCCCCAGGTAAGCTGAGTTTGAGACCCCTGGCCTAGCTTGAGTCCAACACACCTGGAAGGCACTGAGCCACTAGCTGGTGTATGACGCTAATCTCAGTTTTCTCCTGATCTCCACAGGTATACCACAGGGGTGGGAAGGTAACCTTTTAAACACAGTAATGGAAATATCCTTCCCTTGCTCTGAGACAGCACCTGTGACCCCAAAGGACGTGTTCTTTCTCTTAAGGTGATATTTCTTGCAGACGACTGGCTACACTTTCCCAAGCATACATACCTACAAGTTACTACTTACATTATAGATGAGCCAGGAACCGCAGTGGGCTAATCTCTTCCCATTAACGATCCGAACGAACGACGAGAGAAGCTTTCCATCACAAGCCGCTACCTGGTCCTTTTAGCTGGTACTGAACCTTCTGCATACAAACTGTGTGTGTACAGCACTTTCCCCTATAGACCAAATAAGTTTCCAGTCCTCAAGGTTCTAAAAATAAAGGTGTGGGGGGGCTGCCGTCAAAGCTGCACAATGTCTGGCAGAAAGGGTTCTTCTGCATCTACCTGCCCCCTTTTACCTGGAGATGCGGCAGCCTTAATTTGGAGCTGTCAGGGCGCTCTTTTTGTACCCTGCTTGTTCCTCAAACTGACAAACTCGTTTAACATGGGTCCTCACACTACGGCCTGTGGGACGGATCCAGCCTGCCATGGCCATCCATCCGGTCCACGCCGCTATTCACAGCCCACGTGCACGCTTTCTGCGCGGGCAGGGAAGTGATGGCTTGCTCACTTGAAGATGGTTTTGACGTGGGGAGATCTCCCAGTGAGTTCAAAGCCCTCTCCAACTGAGCAAGCCGCCACCTGCCTCCCCTGCACACGCACACTTGCCGCTGCCTTGCAACATGGGCTGGAGCTCGGAGATGGTTTTGGACTCACTGGGAGATCGCCAAGCGAGCGTGCGAGACACTGTGGCGTGCGCCCGATGGCCCGCGCCCCCAGGCGCCCCCGCCTCACCGGCCCTCAATGGTCACCGCAGCCTTTCAACTGGCCCCCTGTTCAAAATGTTTGAGGACCCCTGTCATATAAGAAAGCAATTTTGTTTGAGTGCCTGAATTGTAATAATGGCAAGAAAATTGCCGCACAGCACGGTAGGACATCTTGGCTAACCACTCTTAACATTTGTTCAGCTCTTTGCAAGATGGGAACCCACGGTGTTTATTCACTCTCTCACACACTCCCTGTAGAGGTGTATAAACACATACACACACACACACACACACACACACACACACACACACACACACACACACAGACATAGGGCAGGAGACAACAGGATGGTGTTCAATGTGGGTAAGTGCAAGATCTTGCACTTGGGGCATAGGAATAGCTGCCATAAGTACAGGTTAGGTGACAAGTGGCTGGAGAGCAGCACTTGTGAAAGGGACCTCGGGGTGCTGGTTGACTGCAGGCTGAACATGAGCCAGCCGTGTGATGCGGTGGTCAAGAGGGCGAACGCCACCCTTGGTTGCATAGCCAGAAGTGTGGCTTCTAGATCAGGAGAGGTGTTACTACCACTCTACACGACTCTGGTGTGCCCGCAATTGGAGTATTGTGCTCAGTTTTGGGCCCCTCATTACAGGAAGGATATGGCCAGGTTGGAGTCAGTGCAGCGTAGGGCCACAAGGTTGGTGGCCGGTTTGCAGGGGATGCCGTATGAGGTGAGACTGCGGGAACTGGGTCTCTTCAGCCTGGAGAAGGGGAGACTCAGAGGGGACCTGTTGGTGACATACAGGTATATGAGGTGGTGTCACACAGAGGTGGGTCTGTTCTCCCCCACAGAGGAAGGCAGGACGCGCTCCAACAGAGCCAAGCTCAAGCAACCAAGGTTCAATTTGGATGCCAGGAAGTACTTCTTGAGAGTTAGGACCCTGAGGGTGTGGAATGGGCTTCCATGGGAGGTGGCTGAGTCCCCATTGGTGCGGGTGTTCAAGGATAGGCTGGACATGCAAATGGTGGGCATGTCGGGAGCGGAGCCAGCTGGAACTGGTATCAGACTAGATGACCCGGGAGACCCCTTCTGACATCCTCTGTTTTTATGTTCTATGTTTCCATTTCCTCCTAGATCTCTCCACAGGTATACCACAGGGGTGGGAAGGTAACCTTTTAAACAAAGTAATGGAAATATCCTTCCCTTGCTCTGAGACAGCACCTGTGACCCCAGAGGACGTGTACTTTCTCTTAAGGTGATATTTCTTGCAGACGACTGGCTACACTTTCCCAAGCATACATACCTACAAGTTACTACTTACATTATAGATGAGCCAGGAACCGCAGTGGGCTAATCTCTTCCCATTAACGATCCGAACGAACGACGAGAGAAGCTTTCCATCACAAGCCGCTACCTGGTCCTTTTAGCTGGTACTGAACCTTCTGCATACAAAGTGTGTGTGTACAGCACTTTCCCCTATAGACCAAGTAAGTTTCCAGTCCTCATGGTTCTAAAAATAAAGGGGGGGGGCTGCCATCAAAGCTGCACAAAGTCTGGCAGAAAGGGTTCTTCTGCATCTATCTGCCCCCTTTTACCTGGAGATGCGGCAGCCTTAATTTGGAGCTGTCAGGGCACTCTTTTTGTACCCTGCTTGCTCCTCACACTGACAAACTCGTATAAGAAAGCAATTTTGTTTGACTGCCTGAATTGTAATAATGGCAAGAAAATTGCCGCACAGCACGGCAGGACATCTTGGCTAACCACTCTTAACATTTGTTCAGCTCTCTGCAAGATGGGAACCCACGGTGTTTATTCACTCTCTCACACACTCCCTGTAGAGGTGCATAAACACACACACACACGGTGGGTTTGAGTTTTGCAAGTTAAGGTCCACACGGAAACAACAAGAAAAGCCATTAATGGCCAGCCAGGTCAGCAACACTGCCTACCCCTTACTGCCCTCTTGCGCCTCAGCCGTTTCCACAGGACATGCGACCCATGTGGGAATCCAATGCCCAAACTTTGGCGAGGGGGGAGAGTAGCCCTGAATGAGGAGATGCATTTGTGCCAAACACGCTGTCTAAAACGAGCAACTTACACACCGATCGGTGCCTCCAACACGATGCTCAGCTACCGCGGGCGGAATTTGGGAGAGTGCTCCAATATATTTTATGTTCGCTGAAGATTTGCGTTACTTTAGATGACAGAGAATGTGAGAGGGTGAAAAGGAGATCTGGGTTTCTTGGCTGTGGGTGAGGATTTGACGACCCCCTTCCACATGTTCCATGAGAAGAGAAGCACTAAATCATGCTGCAGGACCGAGGAAGGCCTGGGATGAGTCAGGAGTGGGTTTGTGTGCCCCATTCAGTTCTGGTCCTCAGCACCAATTCCCGGGTTCTGAGTTCCCTTCCTTGCTCAAGGCAAGTCTTTCATTTCTTGCTCTGCTTGAACTTCATCAGGTTCCAGAGAAAATCCTGCAAGCCGAAAGAATTTGGACTCCTGGAACAGGACACAGAGCACTCCGAAGCTTGTCACCTCTGTTCAACAGGGGTGGAAAATTTTATCCTGGATTAAAAAATGCATGGGATGGGCGGCTTGTGGGTTAGTGGATCAGCGCCTGAACAACCCAGTGGCAACTCTGACAACAAACCATTGCCAGCCCCTCAACACCCTTTGCTCAAGGTCACAATGCACACCAGCGAAAGAACCAGCTACTTGGAGGCTGCTTAAAGGTAGCCAGCAAGCAGGGTAAACACAGCGCCCGCTTCCTCCTGCTCCTTTCCACTGATCTGGAGGTCAAATAAGGCATGAACTGGCATTACCTGCAAACCCACTCAAAGGAAGAGAGTGGAGCAGCGACAACAGTGAGAGGCAGGCTAGGCCGGCACAGTGAGCGAGTCCCCACCCCAGAAAGCTCTTATGCAAGTACCATCTCATCACAAATATCAGGATGAGGAAGAGAAGAATTTTTCCACCATGCTGAGGAATTCCTCACAATCTTGGGTGAGCAGAAAGGTGTGGAGCAGCCGTGGCTGCAAGCAAAGGCACTTCCAGGCACAGGAGCCACCCGGGCATGCAAAAGCTGGTGCCATCTCTGCCCCCACGTCCCACCCCCAGTCCTTCCCCATGCCGCCCACCGATGTGTGGAAGGCAGGGGAAGGAAAGACAGAGGTGGGAGAAAAGCCCAAGCAATCTCGGTATGTCAGACTTCTCAGACGTGGTAGACCAGATGTTTGAAAAGAGCTGAAGTCCAAAGCACCTGGCCGGAGGGTTGGGGGGTGGAGGGGGGGAACCAGAAATTTGCTCAATGAATCCAACGGAAAATCTTGCTTCCCAATTACATCTGGGAGAAGAATGGGATTCAACCCTTTGAATTCAGAGGTGAGTACTGGGAGGAATAAAACTGAAGGACACTGCAATGCAGGACCAAAGGGACAAGGGGAGGGTCTCCAATCATCCTGAAGGAAGGGGCAACCAGGCCTTCCTGGGAGGTAGTTCCACAACCTGTGAGCCACCTCTGAAAGGCCCCGTTCCTTGTCCCAGGCAAATGCAGCTCTGAGGACAAAGAGCGACCTGTGGGAATGAGAGCTGAGTGGCCTTCCTGATCCTGGAGGACTGCAGCTCCCATCATCCCTCACTAGTGACTACACTGGTCAGGGCTGATGGGAGTTACAGTCCAGCAACACAAGCTGCCCACTCCTGGACTCAAAGGACAGCCTGACTGTTAAAAAACGTGCAGAAATCAAAGCTGCTACTGACAAGCAGCTTGTTACCGCTCCCTCTGCGTCCTCGTCATCAACATGGCGAAAAGGCCACATGTTTTGCATTAACACAAACGCCATGTCAGGCCGGAGACACTCCAGTACGAGCTACGATAATGCATAATAACTCTACGCGTTCTCTCTGAGGAGTTACTAACCGCAATAATAAAGGAATTTGGAAGCATAAATCAATCCGGAAGCGGGATTTCTCGGTCCAATCCTGCGTTCCGTAGACAAGTGGGAACCCCCATGGGCTTCCACACACCAAGTGTGAATGCCAAATGCCCCAGCTATACATTAGGATAGAGAAAAAGGCAGCGACACAAGCCAAGGAGCACAACGTTTGAAACTGTGCTGAGAAAGCGAGACGCAGCAAGTGCTGGTGCTCAAGCCCGAAAACGTTCCAGGGAAACAAGAACAACATCTGTCTAGGAACTGCCAGAATTTGGGATGAAAGAAAAATGCATGTATAAGAGGGAGGTGAAAAATGGACTAGTTGGGATCTAAGAGGCACTTCAGAAATGTGAAAACTCTTCTTGCATTAGGCAATGCTGTCTCCATTTGGAATGTGCCCTTCAGTTCACATCTCAGCCAATGCTCCTTGTTACCGGCTGAGTAGCTCCAGTTCTGCTTCAGTCGTAATAGAACATTCTTTCTTATTTATTTTATAAATATGAATAATCTCCCAGCCCATATAACCCACCCAAGGAGTAAAGAGCTTAGTTTAAAGTGCAGCAATTTAAAACTTTCAAATGTATTGTTTAAAAAGAAGAACACAATTTGAAAACCTGAAAACCATTTAAAATTATACATTTCTTGCACTTCATGCCAGCAGCATGAAATGCTAGGAAAAAAAACCTTAAAACGCACCATGCAGCGTTAACACATTTAGAATAATGAAAAGCCAAGCTGACCAAAATGTTTTAAAAGACCTCCTAAAGCTGAACGAATGTCAAAAAGAAAGTCGCATCTACCTTCTCTTGGGTCTGGGACATGCAAGAGAGTTTTAAATTAGTGGCAGGATGATGTGAAGAGAGATGATTTTCCAGATATCTTGGCTGTTCAGGGATGGCCTTGAGTCACAGAAACGGCAGAAGGCACCCAGGTGGCACAATGAAAACAGTCCTACAGGGATTAAACCTCAAAACGCCTCAAAAGGACTCAGGGATGCAATCAATGGGTGCAGAGATTTCACCCTGTTTC